CCATGGGCTCCAGGCTCCTCTGCTGGGTGGCCCTTGGGCTCCTGAGAACAGGTGAGTCCTGGCACGGGGGTGGGGGGCTGGCTGTGCTTTGCCAGGCCTGGGAACCCCCTGCTCACCATGAGGGCTGCAGCAGGAGGTGGCCCTATGTCTACCTCAGCCCTTTCTCTCTGCTCCCCAACAGGCTCTGCGGATGCTGAGGTCACTCAAAGCCCCAGACACCTGGTCAAAGCAAAGAGTCAGTCAGTGACCCTGACATGCAACTATGAATCCTGGCATGATAATGTATACTGGTACCAACAGGCCCTGGGAAAGAGTCATGACTTCCTTGTTTCATATTACGGTGGGCAAGAGAATCGGAAAGGCAGCATCCCTGATCATTTCTCAGTCCAACAATTCACAAAGAACTCCAGCTCTGAGCTGAGCATGAGCTCCGTGGAAGTGGCCGACTCTGCCCTGTACCTCTGTGCCAGCAGCCTCACAGCCCTGCCTGCTCAGCTGCCTCATGCATAAAAACACCCCTAATCAGGCCAGGAAGTGGCAGTCAGGGAGGCTGCCATGCAACCAGGTTCAACTGTGCAAAGGGTAGTCTCTCTCTCTATAGGAGAGCATTTAGTGCTGCAGAATCATTGAGATAAAGGACTGCTTTACTTACATGCATGAAGGAAAGTAGCTCTCTTTGGATCACATTGTTTCACTACAATAATGAATCTGATGAACCAAAAGCAGAGTATTGAATGAAGTATGGTGCATTTCCACTTGTGCTAGTTTGTGCAAAGACACATATTATTTTTTAGTTTATTTGAATCTTATTATATGGTCAGTGCAGTCAGTTATTTCACAAGGACATGCACCCCTCCCACTATGTGTGAAGAAACTGTTTTCCAATAAACCAAGGAGCCCCCCGCCCTCGGCCAATGCTCATCTTGGTTCTATAATTCACCTGCTCCTCTCAATTCTGTAGTCAGAGGGATTGATCTGACAAAGAAAACTCTGCCCTCAAGTGTTGCTGGACAGACTTTGCAATCTGAACAAAACTGCATAGCAAACAGATGGAAGGGACGACAATATAATAAACGCAGCAAGTCCCGTAGAGATCTCAGAAGGAGTAACATAGTCACAGAAGTCATAAAGGCCACTGGGAATCCATAAAACTTCTTAGGAATCCTCAGAATCACAGGCCTATTCAAGTGAATAAGGCCAATGAGTGGTGAAAAATTCACCTGATTAATAAAGTATAAGTTGCAAACAGGTCTGCAAAGGAAAGAACTAGTAAGACCTGTGATTTAGACAAGTGTGCGGCTTTCATTCTAAGCAGCACACTTGTGCATTTGCTCTGTGGGAAGGGGCGTGGCCTCAGGCTGGGTTTTGGGGTTCTAGGCAAAAGGTGACACCTCAGAATGAGTGCCTGAGAGTCTGCACTCCCCCGCGCCACACACACACACACACACACACACACACACACACAGCAGACCCTCCTCTCCCCTGCCTCTACCATGAGCGCCCCTCTCCTGTCCTTTGTGACCCTCTGGCTGCTGCAGGCAGGTGAGTCCCTTCATGGTGACATTGTCCCCATCCCATGCTCAGTCTTCAGCTGTGTCTGCAGCATCCACCTCCTCTGTCCACAGGTCTGGGACAGGCTGGTGTCACTCAGATCCTCACATTCCAGCTCCTGAAAACAGGACAGAGTGTGACACTGATGTGTGCCCAGGATATGAAGCATGACAACATGTACTGGTACCGGCAAGACAAGGGACAAGGGCTGAAGCTGGTCTATTACTCGATCGGAACTAACATCATGGAGAAAGGAGAAATGGGGAATGGGTACAGTGTCTCTAGAGAGAAGACTGAGAGCTTCCCCCTCACGCTGGAGTCGGCTTCACCCTCCCAGACATCTGTGTACTGGTGCGCCAGCAGTCTGTCCACAGCGCTGCAGGGCTGCCTTCTCTCTGCACACAAACACAGAGCACCCTGCCCCCACAGACCCCAGAGAGACTTTGCAGATTCTCAGCTTCAGCAGCCTGGAGCCTTGCACTTTCAGTCATGCAATGTGAACTATCATGTGCTGAGGTCTTGTTGGGGACTTCTACGCAGACCTGGACCCAACCAGAGCCTGGGTTGAAGAATAAACCAATTCCAAGCTGGCTAAGTCCTGCTTACCAACTGACCTCTTGCTCACATCTGATAAGATTGCTTTGGCAAACGAGACCCTTGGCAGCGTCCCTGATTCGTGATTATTGACAGAGGTCGGAACTCTGGATTTCTTCTCACTTGAGTGAAGCGTGATATTCCTAGCATAGCTCTTTCTATTCCTCTTTGGGAAACCCGAATAGCATTCTCATCCTGTTTTCTTAGGACCCAGGTCTCTGAGGCATATGTTAGTGCAGGAAGAACGGTGTTGAAAAGATGTGCCCGGAGCTGGAGATTCTTAGTGCTCTTAACCACTTCTTCGATGATCTTGAAGGCGTTCAAGCCCATCTCTTTCTCCTGTGCAGTTCAGATGCTAGGTCGTTTGTCAAGTTGAGTTCTCGACCCAGGTACACATAACTGCTGCCTTTGGAGATGTTTATACCGTTGAGAGTAAATGGAACGTCAGGGACGAGTTCATTTCTCATGAACATTGTCTTGATGAGATTAAGCTGCAGTCCAACTTTTCCACACTCACGGTTGAAGTCGGCCAGCATTTGTGCTGTTTGGTTAATATTTGGTGTTATTAGAACGATGTCATCATCGAAGCGGTGGTGGTATAAGTTGCCGATCCTCTATCCTTACTCCCACTCCTTCCCATTCCAGTCATCACATGACGTTCTCGAGGATGGCACTAAAGCATTTCAGTGAAATGATATCACCCTGATGAACCTCTCTCTTTATGTCTATGATCACTTCCTTGTAGAATGGTGAGATCCTGGTGGTGAAACTATAATACAGCTCATGGAGGATCCTGATGTATTGAGTTTGAACACCCTGTTTGACTAGGGCTACCACAACCGCTTCAGTCTCAACAGAATCAAAGGCTTTTTCAAATTGATGACTGTTAGACAGAGCACTATCTTGAACTCTTGCAGAACCTTAATGAGCTTGGTCACCGTGTGGATATGGTCGATCATGCTGAATCCTCTTTAGAACTGGGCTTGCTCACATGGTTGTCCTTCATCTAGTGTTCTGCCAATCCTGTTCAGGATGACTCTATTGAATAACTTGTAGATGATGGACAGCAGGCAGATCGGGCAATAGTTGTTGATGTCATGGATGTCTCGCTTCTTGTACAACAGAACGGTCCTGCTGGTTTTCCAATGTGATGGAAACTTTCATTCAGACAGGTAATGTGTAAAGAGCTGAGCCAGTGTATTGACAAGTACTGGCGGCAGATTCTTCAGGTGTTCGGATCTGACTTTGTCTGGATCGGGTGTTGTCATCCTGTCATACTTCTTTACAGACGAAATGGCATGTTGGATTTTGGAAGGGAGAACACTGGGAACGATATATCCATCCTGTGGAATTTGGTATGTGGGGAGTTGGACATAGCTATCAAAGAGATCTGAGTAGAAGTCGTGGATAACCTTTTCCATTGCCCTTCTGGAAGATGTGATAGGTCCATCAGGATGTCAGAGGGCAGTCATCTTGGTCTTGTACTTCTGTTTTTTAATAGTCTAAAATTAACTAATAAGGAAACTTTATGTACACAAATAGTTCATAGCAAGTATTTTCCGTAATTTGGCCCAATGACCAACACAGTGTTCAGTACACATGACAGGGATGATTTCTTATGCACAAGAATATTAAATGTAATCTTAATAAAAGAATATTTGTCCTTAGAACAAGCACAGGAGCATTTGTTAGCACACCCAGTTGTAAGGTGGTATTGGAGAGCTTAGTAGATAACATCCCCATTAAACCAATGAAATGAATACTATATAATATTCTGATCGGCTACTTTGTTTATTTTTTGGTAAAAATGTAAGAAAAACAAACTTATATGTAATGAAGGAGGTTCAGGACCTACAGAGAGACCTAGTGATAGAAAACAGGGTTGGTTATATAATTATTTTTATACATTAATTAATGAACATGATAAACACACGTGAAATACTTGTACAAAATACTCTGTGAACTTCGATACTAACCAATGTAAATGCCAAACTAGGTAATTCTTGGATAGATTGAGCATTAGAAGTTGATCAAAGGGTGTTTTGTACAGCCTGAGGCTGATTAATTCTGGCTTGTCTCATTCTTTCAGCATAGGAACTGCCATGGTGCCAGCATTATTGCCTTCCTGATGGTTGCTGGTTCAGACATTATCATAAGCCTACACCCCCTGAGAAGGGATTCAAAGAACAACACTATGTAAATGGAAATTCAAGAGTAGGTGCTTGGGAGATATGTTAAGGGGCTTCAGAGGGTTGTGTTGGAGGGAAATCCTGTCCTTAAATGACAAGAATAATGAGTGTGAATTAACAGCCACATGGAGGCACTGTGGACCCAGATACAGCAAGGAACAATGGGGAGTCAGAGAGAGAATGAAGCCAGAGAGGAAGAGCTTCAGTGCCTTTTGTGGGCAGATGGTTTGGCGTCATTAAATAGATTCTGGTGTATAAAGGACTTAACACACTTTACTTATTCTGCATCAAAGAGACCACATTGATAAACCGCCTGGGAAGTAGAAGAGAAAAGATCTGGCACAGCCAAGGCTGAAGAATTTAGGACAAGGGCTACAAGCAGGGGAAAACAAACTGATTAAGGTTACTTGGGAACCATACTCTGCTGCTACCCACCCTTTGTTAGGGGGTTTTCAAATAGAGTATATCAGGGAACACATAGCACAGAGTAGCCGACCCCGGGTGAAACCTAACTAGATTGTAGATTGTAGGTTACTTTAGGCCCGGGTAAATTTTCCAGAGAGGCTCATCATACAGTGACGTCACAACAGAGGCTCCTATCAGCACCAGGAAGACAGAGCTTGGAGCCTGCCCTGCCCTAGAGGCTGTCTGTGCCCTGAGGCTGCCATGGGTTTCAGGTTCCTCTGCTGGGTGGCCCTTGGGCTCCTGGGAGCAGGTGAGTTCTGGGCACTGGGGGGGGGGGGGGGGGGGAGGGCTGGGCTGTGCCTTTCCAAGCCTGAAACCCCCCTGCCCACCATGAGGGCTGCAGCATGAGGCACCCCTGTGTTTGCCTTAGCCCTTTCTCTCTGCTCCCCAACAGGCCCTGCAGATGCTGAGGTCATTCAAAGCCCCAGACACCTGGTCAAAGCAAGGAATCAGCCAGTGACCCTGACATGCAACTATGAATCTGGGCACTTGTATGTGTACTGGTACCAACAGGCCCAGGGAAAGAGTCTCGACTTCCTCATTTCTTATTACAATGGGGAAGAGTATCAAAAAGGCAGCCTCCCTAATCGCTTCTCAGTCCAACAGTTCAATAACGACTTCCTCTCTGAGTTGAACGTGAACTCCGTGGAAGTGGCCGACTCTACCCTGTACCTCTGTGCCAGCAGCCTCACAGCCCTGCCTGCTCAGCTTCCTCCTGCACAAAAACACCCCTGGCCAGCACAGGAAGTGGCAGTGAGACAAAGAGCTGCCAGCCAGTCACTCTCAGCCTAAACAGAGGAAAATCTCTCTGTGTTACAGTATGGGAACCATAATCATACAGGAAAATTGTTTTATGTCTTAACATGTTTGACAGGAAGTAATGTTACCAGAGTTAAATATTTGACAAGAGTAGTAAGGTCTCAATCGCATTGCTTTCCTCCAAACCTATGTTCCCTTCACCTTGCATCATAGTCCAAGCCTACTCTTCTTCTTTCTAGAATCAGAATGGGACTGGAAATACTATACATCTCTCATGATATCCCAGGTGTGTCCCTGGAGCGTGCAAACCAAAGTAAAGAATATCCTCTGATGGTCTTTATTCATGGTCCTCACGGTCCTCCTGTTGTTCATCAATTTGCTCGAGCGGGCCCAGTAATGTCTCCATCGTGAGACTTGTTACTGTATTTGGCATATCGAATACGTCACGGGTAGCTTGCCAGGCTCTGCCGTGCAGGTGAGATACTCTTGGTAGTTGCCGGGCTCTCTGAGAGGGGTGGAGGAATCAAACTTGGGTGGACCATGTTGGCTGCTTGTAAGGCAAACGCCCTACAGCTATGCTATCGCTCCATCCCCGATGTTCTTTATTACAAAATATAATTTCCTGTAATTCCATCACATGAACCTGGCCAGTGTCCACCAGGACAGAGGCTATCTGACTCATTTCAGATGTATTTTCTCAACTAACAACTGAGAAAACAAGCAAAAACAATTACTAACTTGCATGAAGTGTTGCTTGATTTGTGCATGATCTAATTACTATGAAGTAAAGGAACATGAAGACTGAATAACATTTTAGTCATCAAACATTTCTGTTCACACAATTTTTTACTAATAAAATAGAACAAGGAGAGGGAGTAGTGTGAAGGAGTTAATCTTTGAGGGTTTATCCATGAGTCTGTGGGCTGTCAGTTACCAGGAAGCGCTGTGCACCCACATGCTGCCAGTCACCCTGGAGGGAGACAAGCTGTGGGAGAGGAAGTCCTTCACATCTTCCCACTGGTAGGGGTGGTTTGAGGCAAAGCTGGTCTCCTGGGAGCTAGAGGAGCTAGTACAAAGGCTTCCCCCCTGGGCAATGTCAGTATCTCCATAATCTCAATCTGCAGGAAGCAGACCATCTCTCTGAGCTGCACAGGAAATGGAGAAAGAGCTGGATGAGCAACTTCGGTAAGGAAGGCTGGGCAAGGGGGAAGCAGAGAAAAAGAGGTGCATACAGTGATGTGGGAACCAGTTGGGCCCCTGTGTTCGCATGGTTTAGGACTGGTTAGGGCAGATAACGGCACCTTCTGGTCCTTACTGTCCTGTCTAAGGTAGAGGAAGCCTGCAGGCAGGCCACATCACACAGTGACATCACACAGTGACTTCACAGCAGAGGCTCCTATCAGCACCTAGAGGACAGAGCTTGGAGCCTGCCCTGCCCTAGGGGCTGTCTGGTCCCTGAGGCTGCCATGGGTTCCAGGCTCCTCTGCTGGGTGGCCCTTGGTCTCCTGGGAGCAGGTGAGTCCTGGGCACAGGATGGGCCTGGGCTGTGCTTTTCCAGGTCTGGGAACGCCCTGCCCACCATGAGGTCTGCAGCAGGAGGTGCCCCTGTGTCTGCCTCAGCCCTTTCTCTCTGCTCCCCAACAGGCCCTGTGGATGCTGAGGTCATTCAAAGCCCCAGACACCTGGTCAAAGCAAGGAGTCAGCCAGTGACCCTGAGATGCTCCTATGAATCTGGGCACAACGCTGTATACTGGTACCAACAGGCCCTGGACCAGGGCCCCAAGTTGCTTATTGAGTATTATAATGAGGAGGAGAGAGACAAAGGAGACATCCCTGCTCACTTCTCAGTCAAACAGTTCAAGAAGAACTCCAGCTCTGAGCTGAGCATGAGCTCTGTGAAAGTGGCCGACTCTGCCCTATACCTCTGTGCCAGCAGCTTATCACAGCCCTGCCTGCTCAGCTGCCTCCTGTACAAAAACACCCCTGGACAGCCCAGGAAGTGGCAGCGAGAGGGGGAACTGCCAGCCAGTTACTCTCAGCCTATACAGAGGAAAGTCTCTCTGTGTTATTATATGTGAACTATAATCATGCAGAAAAATTGTTTCACCTGTTAACATACTTCATGGGAAGTAATATTACCAGGATCAAATACTGGACAAGAGGAGTAAGATCTCAAACACATTATTTTCCTCCAAATCTGTGTTTCTTTAAACTTGCATCATAGTCAGACCCTACTTGTCTTTTTTATAGAACCAGAGGGGGACTGGAAATATTATAAATCTTAAATGATGTCCCAGGTCTGTCCCTGACATTATGGAGCATATGACTCAAAGCAAAGAATATCCACTGATGGCCTTAATTACTTGGCCACCGTGCCTAGGGTTAACAGAGCAGGTAGGGCGTTTGCCTTGCGCGCAACCAACCTGGTCGAGCTGGGTTCGATTCCTCCACCCCTCTCAGAGAGCCTGCCAAGCTACCAAGAGTATGTCGTTTGCATAGCAAAGCCTGGCAAGCTATCGGTGACATATTTGATATGCCAAACACAGTAACAAGTCTGACAATGTTACTCGGCCCACTCAAGAAAATCGATGAACAAGGGGAGGACAGTGACAGTGACAGTGGCCTTAATTACAGAACTTAGTTTCCGGTACAGAAGCTGGTCAGTGTCCCTCAGGACCAAGGCTATCTGGCTCATTTCAGATATGCTTTCTCATCAACAGCTGAGAACAAACAAATACAATAACGAACTTGCATGAAAAGATGCTTGGCAGCTTTTCTGCTAGTATTTTAAAGTGACCCATTTTTTCCCTTTTATAGTCTATTTCAGCAGAGTCCTTAAGCAGATAATAACTTCCCAGGGTTGAATATTCCCTTGGGGAGGGAGGGGAGAGAACTGGCACTAAAGCCAAGAATACCTAGAAATACCTAGAACCTGAGGCATTACTGTCAGAGTCTTTCCCATACTTTAAGGGGAGTATTCAGAAACAGAGGACTAACTTCGCATACTTTTTGTCCTTAGGTGACATTCTCCCATTGCCTTTTTCTTTTACTTCTCCCCACGGATTCTCAGTCCTCCTGATTGATGTTCCCAGTGATAGCATTAATCCTTTCCAGGATTTGCAGAAGGGGGTGCCACCCTATTCCCTGCCAAGAGGAATCTATAAGATGCAGGAGGGGGTGCCACCCCAACCCCCTGGCATGAGGAGCACTGAGTTGCCTGAGAATCACGGAACTGAAGACTCCATTGGTGATCTCTGCCCTCAACCTTAGAGGTACAGGAGCAACATGACTTCAGGGAAAATCAAGGCCTTCCTCAGCCCAGAGCCTCCTTTGGAAAACAAAGTTTAAGAAGAAATGGGGCTGGAGTGATAGTACAGTGGGGAGAGCATTTACTGGTTTCGGATCCTGGCATCCCATATGGTCTCCCGAACACCGTCACGAGTAATTCCTGAGTGCAGAGCCAGGAGTAACTCCTGAGCATCACTGGGTGTGGCCCAAAAGCCAAAAAGAAAAAAGAAAAAAGAAATTGCTGGACCTGAAGTAGCCTACATTCCATTTGCCTCACCCTGGAGACTGCATTTCATTAAGATGCAGTTTTTGAGTTTTTTTGAAGTGCCACCCAGAAAAGGGTCAGCCTCAAAAAAGAAGGAACTAAAGGGACTCCTAAAGGTCATACATAGTAAGATGAACTCCAGGCCAAGAGAATTTGGTGGAATTGTATATCATTTCCTCCTAAATACCATCCAGGCTCTGCACCCCTACCCCATGTTCTCTCTTCAATAAGAATCTCTCTCTTCTTTGCATTTTCCCCTTTAGAGAAACCCCTGTTCTCTCTATAACCCTTATTTCTCTCTTTCCTCTCGCACTTCTCTTATGTAAATTTCTTTCAAAAAGAAATTTTTTTTTACTTAGTAACAAGAGTACATTTCTCCTTTTTTGAGAAACGTTATCATCAACATTAAATGTTTGCTAAATATTTTAAATATTTAATGGTGAACATCTATCAAATTAGTGCAAGTCAAACCCATATTAAAAAAAACAAATGGTCTTTTATGCACAAACTGGGTTCAAATGTTCCAGGTAGAAGTCTCATACTGTTATCACTTACTGGCAATTTTTTATATACCAATTTCTTCATTTTTTAAATTTAATTAATTATGAGTTAAAAACTTAAAGGGTCAATGTATTACTGTTTTCACATTAAACTGAGGGAACTTATTCTAAAAGTAAATAATTTTGACCAAGTCAGATACCTAATAGATTCAGTAGTGGAAATCCAAACTGTTTGCCCCTAAGTTCTTTGATTACAACTTGATACTTTAATACTAAATGCTAAATTAAAAATTCCTGCATTAAAATCAGACCTTGTCTCCTGGGCCCCTGTGATATAATCATAGGCAATGACGATGGAAAGGGCTCACCCAGGGAAGGGGCAAAGGAAGAGCCTCTTTGGTCTGCCCTTTCTTGGGGTCCCTGCTGTGTGTCTTTCTGAGAATCCTGGGCACATGTGTGGGACCCACTGAAGGGCAGGCAGTGGGTTTCGAGCAAGGAGGGTGATTGTGAAGACAACTCAGAATCATCCTATGGTTATGGTTGCTTGTCTGAGAATGTTTCTATCACTCAAATGTGAGTAATAGTCTAGCAGGACAGAGGACTCATTTATTTATTTAATGTTTTATTTTATTTTTTAAAAATTTTTATTAGTGAAACACCATGAGGTACAGTTGTAGACTTACAATCTCTTGTGCTTGGGTTTCAGTTATACAATGATCAAGTACCCATCCCTCCACCAGTGCCCATTTTCCACCATCACGGGTCCCAGTATTCCTCCCACCCCCCATCCTCCGCCATCCCACCTGCCTCTGTGGCAGGGCATTCCCAGAAGAGAGGACTCTTGATCAGAGGTTTTTTCTTCCAAACTTTAGATATACAATGTCCTTTTTTTGTGGGGGTAGTCCATTGAGATATCTTCTATATTATGGGATTTTAGGGTTTTTTTTGGGGGGGGTCACACCCGGCGATGCACAGGGGTT